CAATGGACCCCCTTCGCCACCAATCTCTTCACCTATACGAGACTGTTGGTGCTTATGTTGGCCTGGAGAGCAAGGTGCTCCTTTGAAAGAAAGGAACACCAATTTGGGCTTCAACAGGCACAACAAGCTATTGAAGAAGAGATAAGAGCCCGAACAGCCGAAGCCTRCAGGATAATGCARCGGGAGTGTATGCAGGAGAAARACCCGGTTGTCAGACAGGMTCTTCGAGAGTCTTATCTCCAAGTCTGGCAGGATCCCAAACAAGCCTTCTCTGAAATAAGGAGTGACGGTACCATCTGCTGGAACCCCTGGAGAAGGAAAGAGGCCGACTGGAATAGACGATCGCTGGGGGACTTCCAGGTCCTGTACCTCCCAACTAACTTCGTGCTTCTACCGTCCCCCTCTACCTAAAACGTCTGCCCTCATTCTGTGTTCACCGGGAGATGATCGTACCCCTTCCCATGCCCTGTCCCCTCCTCCTCCCCTCACCCCCCCCTGTTTCCCTTCTCCCTTTCTCTTTTTCTGCAGACTGGAGATCAACAAGGGTAACAACAACAGGCGGCTGGGCCAGCCAACGGCTGAGTGATGAGCGTTGCACCAATCCAAGCAAATGGGGACATGGGAAGAGCTGCTACAAGGGAGGGGATGCTGCCGAGGGGGAGCGCCGACATCAGAACTTCAAACTCTCAACTGCATGAGTTGGGGACAATAGCATACTTACAATTTTTGTGTGGCCTACTATCGTGGCTAGATTATCAGCAAGAACAGCTGCTCTCAGTAACAGAATAGCCGCGTCGCTAGTCAGCCCACATGGTAGATGAAGCAAACCATGCCTTGATACACCCGACTGCACAAGCTGAGGACAATAGCGCACTTAGGTCACTTGTGTGGGTGCTATCGTAACTAGGTCAACAGCGACAACGATTGCTCTCAGTAACAAGATAGCAGCTTTGCTGCTCATGTCACACGGTAGATGAAGCAGCTGTAGCTTAATGACGTCGTCAAACATGTCTGTGTAAACATTCAAATTGTATCAGGGGGACGCTGGACCCGATTTCCAGCAGGTGCAGCTCCCCACCAATAGATGGAGCCCTGGACCTGTCTCTTATACACATCTAGATGTGTATAAGAGACAGGATAAGAGCAGACACCACTACCACCCGGGGAGAGGCTCCATCTATTGGTGGGGAGCATCACCTGCTGGAAAACGGGTCCAGCGTCCCATGAACAGAATGTAATCAGAGAATATCAGGAAAAACCATGTGGGGGAATCCTGCCAGCATTGATTGCCCTGAAATACAGGGGATTGACTGAGCAGAACTTAGAAAATGAAACTTTGAAAAATAACTGGAAGAAGAACTGGAAAAAGCTGGGAAAACACCTGCTCTGACTGTAACATCAAACCAGTTGTCCTTAATGTGCAGACACCATGGGCCGAGCATCTCCTCGCCCATTTTTGCTGGAAGCAGCTACCCTTATGCAAGAAGTACCAAGATGCTGTGACTGGATGGCGCCTGCCAGCGTTGATTGCTGCCAGCGTTGTCCATGCGCTAGGTTGCACTTGAGTTTTGAACCCGCAACCTCATACTACAATGCGCATTTCCAACGGGTGCTCTAACCACTGAGCCACATCAACTGGACAAAAGGGAGACAAAAGGGCGACGGCCTTGAGATATGATCATTCAACTGACTGGCCCCAGGTAATTCGGAGAAATTCGGACTTTATTTGATTCTGCTCACGGGCAGTGCAAAGAAATCCCACTATCAAAGAGCATTGGACTGAAAGCCCGAATCTGAACTTTTTTGTGGAAAGGTGCAGACAATCCCTAGATTGAACTGCTTCTCTACATCTCTACTTAAAACATGCCAGATGCCAGAGCTTTATCGAATCCTCTTTGATAGTGGGACCTCGCCCCTGGTTGCGTCTGGATTCAAACTACGGTGAGACGGCGACAGCGGCGGTGGCGGTGGCGGCGCCGGTCGTCGGTTGCGGTTGTGTAGGACGCAATGTCT